GAGTTGGTGTTAATTCGTCTGGTAAAGTTTTGTTTTGTAAATAATTAAAAAGATGATTATATTGTATTATATCTATTGTGAGCTATTTGTCACACTATAAACACTTTAGCTTTCACTTAAATAAATATATTTTAATAAACTTTGAAATAGAAGGGGATTAATAAGAGGATAGGGGAGTAATATCTAACATTTCATAAAGTTGAGAGTATGCATTTTCCTGTTGGACTAGAACTGGTTCTTCCCACCATACATCATTAACTAGGCAACTTGGTTTCATATCAGGATGAATTTTTCCTCTTTCATATCCTATAATACAATCATGAATAATTGTACCGTAAGGTAAATTCTTTTTGCATGTCTTACAATAGGTATGAATATGATGATTTTCTATATCATAGGCAAAGGTACATTGAGATCCTTCTTTAACAATAGGTTGATTGGCTATTACTGATTTAATTTTAATGTTTTCACAATATATTTTTTCCATTTCATCCTTTAGGCTTTCATATCCAACTGCAGTAATCAAAGATACATTGGAAAATTGCTGAAATAGTTGTTTCTCAAACCATATTTTTTTGTTGTCTTTAGTAGAATCATGTTCAGAAGAAATATGCCATTCATTCTCTGACTCTTTGATTCAACAGTAGTTAACATAAAAACTTCATATGTATTATCATCATATTTTTGGTCAGTATTAATTCAAGAAAATGCATTAGCATTAGCATTTAATTTTCCAGGCCTATACTTTATTTCAAAATCATACAGTTGGATTTCCATGATCCATTATGCTCTCCTTCCTTTAAGTATTTTTGATATTTAAGAGCTGAATAGTCGGTAACAATAGTAAAAGGTTGTGAGCTCAAATAATAGTGAAAATATCTCACAGCCCATATAACTGCAAGGCATTCTTGATCAGTGATTTCATAGTTTTGCTCAGCTTTATTCATACTTCTACTGGCATATGCTACTATACAATCGAGTTCATTTTCTAATTTTTGAGAAAGAACGACTCCTAAACTATTTTCAGAAGCATCAGTGTATAAAATAAATGACTTATTAAAGTTCAGATACTGTAAAATGAGTGCAGTAATTAACTTTTCTTTTAAAATATTGAAAGCTTTTTGTTGAGCATTTGTCCAAGAGAATGGTTCTTCCTTTTTCAATAATTGAGTTAAAGGTTTAGCAATTTTTGAGAATCCTGAAACAAATCGTCAATAATATGAAAATAATCCTAATGCAGACCTTAAGCTTATTAAGTCAATTAGAATGGGAAAGCTTTTAATTTTATCAATTTTTGCAGGGTCAGGTTGTAATCCATTCCTTCCAACTACATATCCTAAATACGTTATATTAGGTAGACAAAAGTGACACTTTTTAAGCTTAATCATTAAATTCGCTTGTTTGAAATACTTTTCTCAAGTGTTGGATATGATTCTCATAGATTATTGAGTAAATAATAATATCATTTAAATAAACAGCAACGAATTCATACAAGAATTCTTGAAGAATATGGTTCATTAATCTCTGAAAGGTTGCTAATGCATTCTTTAGTCCAAAGGGCATAACTTTGAATTCGTATAGACCAAACTGAGAAATAAAAACAGTTTTTTCCTTGTCTTTTTCACTCATTTCTACCTGCCAATAGCCACTAGCAAGATCAAGTGTAGAAAACCTATTTGCTCCTTTAAATTTTTCTAATAAATCGTCAATTCTTGGTAGAGGATATGCATCACTTTTAGAGATAGAGTTTAGTTTTCTGTAATCAATGCAGATTTGTTTATCTCCAGTTTTCTTTGCAACTATAACTACAGGAGAAGCCCAGGGGCTTAATGATTTCCTGATAATTCTATTTTCTTTCATACGCTTAATTTCATTTTTGAGAAAATTGAACTTTGCTGGATCCTTACACTTATAAGCTCCTGTAGTGACCGGGTCATGATTATTAGTTAAAATGTTATGTTTTATCAAACTAGTTCGTCCAATTTTTATTTGGCTTAGAGCACATATATCTTTGTAATCATCAATTAATTTTTGAAAGGACGGTTGTTGTTTGTTATCGAGAGGTCCAACTTGAAGATCATCTTTAATTTTCAAATATTTTCTTTGGAAGTTTCAGCAAGAAATACTGCTGGATTAGATTCAAATTCTTCTTTAAATGCAAGAGTTAAATAGACAGAGTTTTCTTCACTCCATAGATTATAGTCGAGCAGTAGAAGGTCAACTTCCTTCTCATATTCCAGTCAGGGGTATTTCCAAATTTGGAATCGATTCCAGAATATTCTGCTGATCATACCGATCATTTTAAATAGAAAATTCGTAAAACTTCAATGATCTATAAAATTTTTTTTTTTTTTTTTTGCAAAACTAAATTCTAGAATATATGTTTTTGAGTATATAGATTCAGAATCCACATGGATCCACAAGACCTTACAAAACAGTTTTCTCTCAAATTAAATTTAAAACTAAGCTTTTTATATATACTAATTTTGT